GTTTAAAGTTACAGGATAGGATTATATTGGCGCATGTCTGGTTCGGTTTCTGTACTTCAGTGTTGAAATCTCATAGAAGAATAATTTCTTTTCCTGTGCTAAAAGTTCCATCCAGCATAGAAGTGAAGTCGTCATACCAATTGTTAACGGCACAAGGATTTCGATATAGGTAACCAATAAAAAGTGATTGCTGGTTTGACAGCTTGACTTCCAGCCAGACACATTACCTCTAAGGATTCTAAATCGTTTCGAATAGGAATAACTGAGACAATTTCAAATTACACAGTTATACCTGTTTCTAGTTTTCTTATGGCTAACCAATGAAAAGTTATTGCTGGTTTGACAGCTTGACTTCCAGCCAGACGCACACTACCTCTAAGGATCGTAAATCATTTCGAATTGGAATAACTGAGGCAATTCGAGATGAACACTGTTTCTAATTTTCTTACTGCGTCTTTGAGAATAACACGAAATCCCTCAACTTAAATTTCATTATTAATAATTTTATTGTCTAGCCGACTTTCGGTAATTCCAAAAATATGAAACTGGTTGTTAATCCTAACTGACAGCTCAGGCAGTTTGCCGAGTAAATGATAGAGGTTTAAATGACCTATACGAATGCCGTTTTTGTTTAGCTACTGATTACGACTGGGTAATATGTTTTGTATAGAGAGATGTACTGACTTTTTTTCAAGATGTACCACTGGGTCGGTGTCTGTGGCTTAGGCGTTGCGAACGAACTTTGTAATGCCGGGGTGCCGGGTTCGATCCCAGCTGCAGGCCTTGCGCTTTGCGTTGGTATCGACAGTGGTATCAAGCAGCCGACCGTCCAGGGCAATGGCAAACTTAGGTTAGGTAAGTTGCGTATCCTTTACAGGACGTTGCAGACCCAGCCCCAACAGCCCCTTGCTGTTGTGTGGTTTTTCTAGGCATTTACGGCCAGTAGTTTAATGGCAAACTACTGGACGTAAATTTGCCTAGAAAAACCAGAAACGCCAAATAATGTCGGGGTTGGTTCTGCGACGTCCTGTAAAGGATACGCGACTAACTAACTCACTGGGTAGTACTGGCATGCGATGAGCTAGGATAGTTTTTGAAATATCTTGAGTACAAAGTTTGCTATTTATCGCATAAAATATCACATTTTCAATCAATAACCGCGAAAATATGTTTTTTAAAGTCACCAAAATTAATTTCCTTCGTCTTTAACTAGTGTCGGCTCTGTGGCTAAGTGGATGCGAACGCATCGTAATGCCCGAATGCCGGGTTTGATCCCAGCTGAGGGACATGCGCCTTGCGTTGGTTTGGACAGTGGTATCAAGAAAGCCGACCGTCAAGAAAGCAATGGCAAACTACTGGACGTAAATTTGCCTTTAAAAAAACCACACAACAGCCAGGGACTGTTGGGGTTGGTTCTGCAAATTTCTGCAAAGGATACACAACTAACTTTTAACTAGTATGTACCCATAGAAAGCATTGTTCCCAACAGATATAATCACATTCAATTTGGAAGCTTAACCGGTCCTTAATGTATTGTTAGCCCGGTTTGGTGACGTCAGCAGCATGGCTCGTCAGATGGAGACAACTTTGGTCTACACTGAGAGGAAAGGCAAGACGGACATATAACCAGATTGCGACCGGTACCATGAGTATTGCTGGCTGCTGAAGATAGGGACAGAGCGCTTATGGGAATGTCCTGAGTGCTGTGATGTCATTTCTTGGCTCAACTCAATTCAACTTATCTCTTTGTAGTCATCTTGATCCATACAATTCATAAATTCAACACAGTGTAACTACGTTTCTTTCTCCTCACATGTGAAAAAAGTCTACAAGTGTTTATTGAAAAAAAAAAAATAAACAAAGAAATGAGAGCAGACATAAGAGTTATGAGAACGTGAGTAACGTACCTGAGAATTATACAAGGTATGATAATATTCATGAAGTAATACTTGGTTCTTCGACGTAACTGAACGGAGAAGGTGACATCAGGGAAGGGTTCAATACAGCAGTTGTAGAACACGACGTTCCGTTGTACGGCCACACCTGGTGGGAAACAGAGAGATTAGCCAACCCGATTTATTTTACAGTCACATAAATGACAAGTGTGTGACCTGCTCTTACTCATCAATTAGCAGGCCCTTTACTGAACGTCAGAGAGCTCCCGCGGTGTAGCAGCTAGGCGCTTGCCTGTCGATCAGAAGGTAGTGGGTTCGGGTGCCTCATGGAGCCTGCATTTTTTTAAAAATGACCTTGGCTCACAGGTCGACCCAGCTGTGATTGGGGAGCAGGTAGAGTTCTGGGAAGTGAAGACCGCCGGCGTGATGTCGACCGTATCACCCAGCAAGTTCCGTCTGACATATAAAATATATGTCTTACCTTGTGTGCCCAATATGTCTGAAGGCTTGGAAAGGGGACCTTTACTTACTTTACAGAACGTCGCTCTGGTAATGGCTGTTACAACAACAACAACAACAACAACAACTACTACTACTACTACTATTACTACTACTACAACAACAACAACAACAACAACAACAACAACAACAACTACTACTACTACTACTACTACTACTACTACTACTACTACTACTACTACTACTACTACTACTACTACTACTACTACTACTACTACTATTGTATTTACCTATTATCATTCCCCGCCCCCCTTTTTTTTTTTGAATTCATCCGTTATATTCAAACTCGACTTACTGATCTGATAACCCTTCCTCTTTTTCTATATTCATGCACGCGACTCCTCTCCCTGCACCCTTTCTTCCCCATGTATCTCATCCAATGATACCTATCTCCCAGCCCACCCCAGCACTCTCCTCGATGATCAAACGTGCCCGCTTCAGTAGTCGTCACTACGCACGTTTCCCTTGTCGGCCATGGGTCGCTATGCTTATTGCAAGCGTAATGGTCCCTAAACATGGAGGCAGTTCCTGCAATTGTCGAACTGTTCCTAGTAATTTTACTCTACCCCGATTGATTATTAAGGGGTTTTTAAAAAATGCGCACACGAATACAACTTACAGAAACACACTCACACAGACGTGCATGCGCACAAAACCACATCCGTGTATGTGTTTGTGTCATTCGAGTTGCCTGGCGGCATTTGAGATATCTGTCAACACGTCTATAATACTGTTACTACTGTTACTATTTTTTTAACTCCCCGGAGGAGCCTGACTTTTTTTTTCAAAAATGACCTTGGCTCCCAGGTCGACCCAGCCTTGAGTGGGTACCAGGTGCAGTCCCGGGAAGTAAAGGCAGCCGGCGTGATGCTGACCACGTTACCCATCTTGTGCCAATAGGTCTTTAAAATATAGGTCTAGCCCTTCATTCCCTATACGCCTAAAGGCGTGGAAAAGGGTCCTTTACCTTTTTTTTTTTTTTTTACTTTTACTATTGATGCTATATTACTTTTACCACCACCACCACTACTACTACTATTACTACTACTACTATTAGAGACAGACAGACAGACACATCCGATAAACAGCGATTTTATACAACGAACCACAACACGATCACCAACATGAACAAGTTCCCTGACCCAGTAGTTGCCAAACTCCGTTGTCCACGAAGTTGGAGAGATCCATGGTGCTTGAACTGTTCCAGACGTTGACCTGGGCAGATGTCAGAAATCAATCACGTCATCACCTACACTGGCTATCACATTGCTGTATCAGAATCGTCACGTTGACCTAGTACCTCCCACTTCTTGGTTTTGTAACAAGTATTACAATTCAGTAAAGAGCAGCAGATTTGTTGGTTTGGCCATCTGACGAGAATGCCCTGGTGCCAGCTAGCGTAGTTGAATAAGTTGGGGACGGAAAATGGGGGGGGGGTGTGGGGGGGGGGGGTGTACGCTCAAGGGTCCTAAATGTTTATATATATATATATATCGGTACATTCCCATATATGAAGCGAAGCCGAAGTTGGAGCTTCGGAGTTAGTTTTTTGGACTCTCTAGGCAGGTGGCTAACCGTTTTGCCGAGGGAAACTGAGCCATTCGTGACTGTAGTAGTGGTGGTGGTAGAAGAAGAAGAAGCAAAAGAAGAAGAAGAAGAAGAAGAAGAAGAAGAAGAAGAAGAAGAAGAAGAAGAAGAAGAAGAAGAAGAAGAAGAAGAAGAAGAAGAAAGAAGAAGAAGAAAAAGAAGAAGAAGAAGAAAGAAAAAAGAAGAAGAAGAAGATGAGATGAAGAAGAAGAAGAAGAAGAAGAAGAAGAAGAAGAAGAAGAAGAAAGAAGAAGAAGAAGAAGAGAAGAAGAAGAAGAAGAAGAAAGAAGAAGAAGAAGAAGAAGAAGAAGAAGAAGAAGAAGAAGAAAGAAGAAAAAGAAGAAGAAGAAGTAGAAGAAGAAGAAGAAGAAGAAGAAGAAGAAGAAGAAGAAGAAGAAGAAGAAGAAGAAGAAGAAGAAGAAGAAAAAGAAGAAGAAGAAGAAGAAGAAGAAGAAGAAGAAGAAGAAGAAGAAGAAAGAGAAGATAAAAAAGAAAAAGTAGGAGTAGTAGTAGTAGTAGTAGTAGTAGCAGCAGTAGTAGTAGTAGAAGTAGTAGTAATAGTAGTAGTAGTAGTAGTAGTAGTAGTAGTAGTAGTAGTAGTAGTAGTAGTAGTAGTAGTAGTAGTAGTAGTAGTAGCAGTAGCCAGCGAAGATTTCAAATTCTGATTTTGCCATTAGTAGTTAGATTATATGCCGTCCTGCCTTTCCTCTGAGCGTAGGGAATTGACCAGATCCCCTGTTCACTGCTAGCAGTGCCCTTCTCTTCAGACCATGATGATCTTCTGTTCGTGTCTCCGCATCGTTCACTTGCTCTTAAAGGGCCCAGACCATATCTAGCTTATCATGCACAAATCCATCACCCAGTGGTGCAGAACCAACTAATCTATCTGGCTGTTCGTTTATCTCTTCCAGAATGTTATACAGTTGTGCTATGTCCTCTTTAAATCTGTTTTAAAAATATACTAATTTCGCTTTTTTAAAATTAAGTTTACTTGTTTTTGCTTCTTTGAGAGTTTTATTGAACTGATCCACGGCAGGTGAAATGTAGTGAAAAGCCCTTTCTGACCAGGTTGAAGGTTTAAAATTTAAGTCGAGAAGATCGACTTTGCTGCATCCAGTTTTATCACATATGGCGCAGTCTCCCTCTGCAAAACGGTTAGCCGCATGCCAAGAGAGTCCAAAGAACGAACTCCGTAGCTTAAGAATTGCTACTCATGAACCGACGACGCAGCTGTGAAACGAACCCACGACCTTAACAGACCAAAGCAAACAGTTTGACAACTTCGCCACGCAGACCCGCTTTGACCAGGTTAGAGTTTTTAGAAAAGACGATACCAGTGTATTGCGTACATCGCCAAAGAATTACCAGACATGCGCCTTTATGGAAAATAAATGGACTGAGGTAATGAGGATGTCCCCCCATCCCTCCCCCCCCCCCCCCCCCCCCTCCCCAAAAAAAATCGTAAAACAAACGTTGATGAAAGAGACCGACTGCGCTAGACTGGATTCCATTTGAGATATTGAAACAGTTACACGGGACAGAGCGGAAAAGACATGCCCTTGGATTGTATAAAGGTACAATAGCACAATAATGATTTAAAAAAAAATGTTACAGTCAGTATAGAAAATAGTGGCTTAGGCGTTGCGAGTCCTACTCGTAATTCCAACGTAGCGCGATCGAAACCCACTGCTGGCTGTGTGGATTTTTATCATGGTATGGGGCGTTTCAGGTCGACCCAGCCTAAAATGGGTACCAGGATGTGTGTCCTGGGGAAGTAAAGACGGCCGGCGTAATGCTGACCACATTAACCACCTAGTGCCATTTAGTCTGTAAAAATATGGGGTGCTCTTCCTATACGCCCGTTGCGTCGAAAGGCGTGAAAAGGGATCTTTACTTTTATGGTAAATAGAACAGTTTAACCAAATCATTTCGCCCGAGCAGAGCCTTAGTGTTCCATATTCGTCTATGGCGCCTTTGTTTTTTCTGAATTCAAACTGATTGTCATTCATCTCTGATTCTACCATGTGATAATTTCTCTTATGGAGCGTGAAATGTCGGGAGAAATTAGGGTACTTGTTACGTTTTGTTCTTTTTCACTGTTTGGTTTTTCGTTGAAATCATTGAGTCGTGTGTGCTCAAACTGCTAAACTTTTGACCAACATAAACGTTGAAAATGTATTCATGGCAAAGTTTTAGTTATGTGAGATCATCACTTTATAGAGTTAAATTATACGATTGTGTTCAGCGAGATGTTGTCACTATCGCTGCATCCCTCGACCCGACTACTACCAGCCAGCATTCTCATTTCCTCCTGCTCCTTCTCATCCTTCTTCTTCTCCTCCTTCTCCTCCTTCTCCTCTCCCTCCTCATCCTCCTCCACTTTCTTAGAAAAACTAAAACACATCAGCTAATGTAATCAAAGATGTAATGTCCTCCCTATAATTAAAAAAAAATGTATCTACCAGATGCAATTCTCTCTCTCTCTCTCTCTCTCTCTCTCTCTCTATATATATATATATATATATATATATATATATATATATATATATTATATATATATATATATATATATATATATGCATATATATATATATATATATATATATATATATATATATATATATATAGAGAGAGAGAGAGAGAGAAGGACAGAGAGAGAGAAAGAGAGAGAGAGAAAGAGAGAGAGTCAGAGAGAGAGAGACACACAGAGAGAGAGAGAGACAGAGAGAGAGAGACAGAGACAGATATTAGAAACAGCTAGATTTACGAGAAAAAAGATGACTGGGAAAGAATATGTTTGTATAAAGGGGTACAAAATGAGATGAAGGCGACGACAGTGAGACTGGCATGGCCAACAAATGAGCTGAGCCAACAAGGAAGCACAAGAGAAACCCTACGACAAGGTTGACCAAACACAAGACGTTAGATTCTTTCCCATACATGTTATCGGAAAGGTTTCAAAGATTAGATCAAAACAGAGAATCAACAGCAAGCCTTATGTAATTAGTGGAAGCCATAACATTTGATGATGATGGTGGAGATGATAATGATGATGATGATGGTAATGATTAAGAACACGATGACGATGGCGGTGCGTGTTGATGATGATGGTGGTGATGGTGATGGTGATGATGATGAGGAAATACTGGTATAAAATAGCATTATGTATACAGCCACGACCCAAGACAATTTCAGAGAGAACAAACTTGCTAACATTAAACAATAAACATCTAGACGTGCCTCACCTCTAGCCCCGTGTAAGCCCAGGAGCCCAACTTCAGCCTGCAGACTTGCGTGTCGAACGGGAAGAAGGTGATATCGATCTTGCACGAAGACCGGAAGCGAATCACTGGACCCCAGAAGACTCGGCTGGTGTTGTAAACCATAGCCAGGGTTGGCATGTATCCGGACGTATAGTCGTCCACACTGCGGACAGAAAGTCACTGGCTACACTACGGGTCAGGAGATATACATGAAAGCAATTACCGTTAGTCTTGCTACTTGGGGTTTGATGGCTTTTTCTTGTGATCGCCGCACTAATATGGGTTTGACTCCAAACATGCAAGCGCAAACAGTTAAATTTACTTTAGGCGTATGGAATGCTACGAGAAGCTGGATTTATCCTTGCCGTAGACCAGTGGTTTTCAACCTTTTTTTTTCAGGCGGTGTCCTCTTGAGTATATGGAAAGACTACCGCCTGCCCAACTTTAAAAAACGTGATTTAAAAAAAAAGGGGAAAAGGGGGGGGGGGGGGAGCACTATTAACAAGAACTGTGTTATCCTAGTAAATAGATTTTTTACGGAAAATGTACAAACTGCTCATGCAATTGAACACGTTGTTGGCTTTTTGTTTTATAAATCGTTTCGATTTAATCTCTTTAAGCCAGGCAGGACGACCGCCAGTAACCAGTCCCTCGCACAGTCAAGTATGCTTATAGCGTCTGCGACCTTGTTGATTTTACCTTTTAGAGATCTGCCCAGTTTTGAGGAAGCGCATGGGGGAAAAGTTGGGGTGTGGGGGGGGGGGGGCGTTAGGACTGACCCTCGCATTGGCCCTCATCCTGGCTTGGTCCACAATGTCCGCTAATTCTTTCAGAACTTTATTGTGGCGCCAAATATATCGTCTCTTGTCTAGGGCTTTTCTGAACTCGCATGTCAGCAGCAGGTCTTTCATGCTTCCCTATAACTTGCTCTTGAGGCAGGTTTCTTTTCGAAGTTGTAGGTAGAGTGGCCAGGACTACAGAATGTGCTCAGGTGTTTGTGGCCCTGTTTGACAGGCAAACTGTGGGGATTGCATAATCTTTATTTTATGCATGTGGTAGTTGAGCCTGCAGTGTCCTGTTCGTAGACTGAAAGTTGTTGTATGTTGCTTTCTGTTGAGTCTGCTGATAGGGTCTTGTGGATGTTTATTGTTAGGGGGTTTAATTATATAAATGTCATTCCCCCTGACCTACACACTCTATTCCCTGTATCCGCTAATCATTCGCACACACCAGCCAGTTCTAACCAATGCCACATTCTAACGGGACCTACCTGTTATAAAGAACAATATCCGGTAGCCAGATTCTTTCACACGGGATGCGAATGGCGTACAGGCCACCGTAGTCAGTCGATGACCAGTTTAATCGCTCGTCATACCAAGCCTGTGGCCATCAGAAATGTCATCAACACGTTAGCCAACGGATACATAGACAACAAATGGTAAACATATAAGATACTTTATAAACAAAAGATACAATGTGACTACACGTAAAACTATAGATGATAGAAAACAAATAAATGTTACAAACACGTTAGACAAAGAATAGGGAGACCGACAGAGAAGATGCTGGACAGTGAGACATCAAGGCATGGAAGATCATCTGTGTCAGAATGGATTAAAAGTACACAAGACTGAAGGCTGTGGCTACACATGACTACCAATGCCAATGGTAGATAGGCTACAAGAAAAACGGTCGTTTCTTCATCGGCGGATTGTAAGATGAACTGGGAGAATGTTGCAACAAACAAGGAGACATAATTACAGGGGCAGACAACTGTAAATCCCACCAATATGCCAAGAAACACGATTTTGTGAGGCCGGGCTGTCTAGCGCTCGACCCCTGATCCAAACTTAATGATTTCTGATGCTGTCATTTCCAGATCAAACACTGCTGGGCAAAAAGAGTTTCCAATAGTCAACTTACAGTGATTCAAAATTATTTGTCTATAAATCGTCGGTTTACGAGGCATTAGGACGAATCCGATTTCGTGTTGCCGAGTTCATGGGAATTTGTAGCCTATCTCAGTACTCCAAGACTGTCCCAAATACAGCATATGAAGGCATAACTTTTGGCCAAGAGAAAAATCGGTGCACGTCAAACTTTACGGGCCGCTAACTGAATCACATAAGGCAGTGAAGTTCATACTAGAGGCGACGCTGAAGATAATCTATTTCAAGCAAACGAAAAAAGAAGAAGAAGAAGTATTTTTTTGATGTTTGCGTTTGATCTATAAACGGCGTCTCGTGGAGGGATTGTTGTAAGCAACTATTACTCATACTTTAGTAAACACAGGGTTGGAGCTAAGTAATTACAAAGACCCACCGAAACCTCGGTATGCATGTGTAAAAGACAATGAACGAGAGGACTAGCTGGGATAAAAGGGCACTAGTACATGTGGACAGAATCGTGAACAGAACCGATATAATCAACGCTGTACGAATATACTGGTGGCAGGGGTGTGGAAACTATAAGCTCAGGCTATGTGAACCCCCATTCCACCCTACATAAAAAAAAATGTACAGTTTTCGAGACACCCCTACTTCTCACCTTACTCCTCATTCCTCCCCTCTCTTTGTTTTATAGAAAATGTATAAGGGGAAGGGGGAAAATGGTCGTTCTAATAAGTTATAGAGGTTCTCCTTTTTTAAGTTTAACATTTTACATTATTTCAAATACAATATTATATTATTTTACGATTATTAGCACAGAAAAAAAATATAATTTGTATTATTATGGATCACTTAAACAAGACATAATCCCATCGATGCCCTTTTCCCCACTCGAATGTTTTCCTCTTGACGACGCGCTTGACTGGTGGATAACGACTACGTGATATTTTGACAAGCCTGGCAAAGCACGTCTGTGTCGTCTACAAGCTCAAGACAGAGATATAATAACCAGCTTCTTTTGAGAACAGTCAGCAGAGATTTCTTGGGATAGCTTCCGCACTAAAGGAGTGAGCACGCACGGAAATGCCCAGCGTGCAGTAATCTATCTTCTTTTTTTCCTACCAGGACATCACACAAGCGATAAACACCCGACGACAGAAAGTGCCACCATGTAGATGAGGATCACCCGTGGAGAGGTCCTAAAAACCGCGTACAGTAATTAGACCATACTTTTGGCCGGGCTATATTGCGGCCCCTGGCAAGAGCCAGAGAAGGGCTTCAAATAACCAAAAAATTGCATCCCACGGAAGGGGGGGAGGGGGTGACAGATTAATGTAGAAACATAACTGACTGACTGACTTTCTACCCCACTAGGATATCACACAAGCGATAAACACCCGATGACACAAAGTGCCACCATGTGGATGAGTATCACCAGTGGAGAGGTCCCAGAAACCGCGTTCAATTATCCACATTTATGGCCTACCTATATTGCGGCCCCTGGCAAAAGCCAGGGTGGGGCTTCAAAAAACAAAAAAAAATTTCATCCTAAAAAGGACGAAACTGGATCTTTTTGAAATATCTAGAAACAGAACATTGGTCTGAGCCTTTTTAATACGACATATTAGAGCAGTGGTTCTCAACCTGACGGTCACGATCCTTTTTTGTGTGTGGGTCAAACGACTTTTTTTATGGGTCACCTAAGACCATCGGAAAACACAAATTCATTGAAGTTATGACTGAAAATAATTGTCTGGGGGTCGCCACATCATGAGGGTCGCTGCATTAGGAATGTTTGGAGCCACTGTGTTAGATAGATTAGTGTATCCAGTGATTTTATTTTATAGCCTTGCTGTCTATGTGGCGCTCGAACATTGTTATTAATATTTATTTATGTTTACAGATCAATCGTCACACTGTGGTTTTTGAATTAAGAATCGATATTACAACACTCGGGATATTCCCATGAGCGCGCTGTCTCGATCTTCAGCAGCAAGCACAGTGTTGCAATCTGATGCCCCCCAGTAACAGCCTGAGTGTAATGTAATGTTAGTTTCAGCTTCATAGCAACCGGGTCACCCCATAGTTGCTCCGCTCCTGTGCCAACAAAAAACACATATAATGTTTATCGCAGTTTTTTGTGGAAAGATTGACAGACTGCTGTCTCATCATATGCACTAGCATACACACGCATTGAAAGCATACGGTAGCCATCAGAAGTGCTAACACAAACAGTCCGACATTAGAAATGCAGTTCATTATTGACGGTAGCAGAGGTAACCAACAAAACAGCAGTTGCACACGCGATCAACTTTAATCACGTAAGGGCACCACCAATATTGTTGGGACAGGCCACGCGCTATTTTCTGAATTTACAGTTCACACCACACCTTGGCCACAGTCGAAAAACATTTCAAATAAAATCCGCAGCTCATGGGGTCGCACCATGCACTTAACTCAGTAGCTGGGGGGCGAAACTATATCCTTTCAGTCTACAAATGGGGCAAAAATGCAACGGCCACCGTCTGGCAGAAGCAAAAACTTTGCCACGACTCGAAATAGTGACCGTGCCTAGGGTCCATTTTGACAGGAATGTTAACTGCAACAAGCCTGAGTGTATATCCGTCTCGCCTTTCTCTTGAGTGTTGACCGTCGGTCACATTCACTGGTCACTCTTTACAGCAGCATTTTCTTCAAACAGTGATAATCTGTTTCTGTCTCCTCACTGTTCCCTCGCTTTCAAAGGACCCCTAAAATATCTAGCTTGTCATGTACCTGTTCACTATCAAATGATGCAGAACCAGACATTCTATCTGCCTGTTCGTTTACCAACACGCTGGTATGACCTGGAAAAATGATCCACAGAATGCTAACTATCCGGGATCTCTGAAGCAATGCTTGCCAATCTGCAGAGAGCACGCCTGTCTTCACCTTTCTCAATATGCTCTGTCAGTCATAACGCCATGGCTGATGGTAATAATAAAATGGCAGGCAAATTTACTCCCCCCCCCCCCCGCACACACACACAAAGACCGTCCCCACATTAGACACAATTTTTCGTAGTCTTGAAGTCCCACCCAGGCTTTTGTCAGGAGGCCGTAAAATAACCTAAGATGTGAACGCGGTTTCCGACCCTCTCCACTGGTGATCCTCATCCGCATTGTGGCACTTTAAGTCACCATGTGTTTATCGCTTGTGTGATGTCCTGGTGGGGTACAACTTACTTACTTCCCGAAATATATCATGGAATCCATTTCATGCTGTGACGTCCTGGCAGCCCAGTTTACTTTTTTATCAAAAAAGAAAACAAGAATACAGAACCGGCCAACTTGGGAGCTTAGGCATGGTAAGGACACCCCCCCCCCCCCAATCCCCGCTTTATTTTCAGTAATTGTTACAAGGGGTGAGGGACACAACCCCACTTCCGCCATTACATTTGTGTGTGTGTGTGTGCAGTGGAGCTAAGGTGTTTCCCTATCCATGTATACACGTTCTCTGTTTGAATAGATGTTTATATATTTCACACTATTTCGAACATGTTATTATATTTATTTGTCTCTCAGTACATAATAATAATTTTATTCATAATATTTTTTATTATAGCGCACGTAAACAAGGCTTAATCACCACCACCACCACCATCACCACTACCAGCACCACCACCATCACCACCACCACCATAACCACTACCAGCACCACCACCACCACCACCATCACCACCACCATCACCACTACCAGCACCACCACCATAACCACTACCAGCACCACCACCAGCACCACCACCACCACCACCACCACCACCATCCCTTGAGTCTTCGTCCCCTAGACAATTATAAGTGGACCCTCAAGTCCTTAACTCCCCCCCCCCCCTTTCCCGCATAATGGGGAGTTAAGACCCTCAGTTTCCTGTTTTGCATTCTCGTGACTCAACTTTTCAATTGCCATGCCCCAATAATTTTGCCGACTAATACGGTCCGCAGGCCAGACCGTCCGCACCACTAGTTTACACGAACACAAACAGTGTGCATGGATCTAAACTAAGAACAAAGTAGGGGTCAAGTAAAAGTAAAGCTCCCTTCTACGTGCCTTTAGGCGTACTGAGAATATAGGGCTAGAACTATATTTTTTATAGACCAATCGGCTCTTGATGGGTGATGTGGTCAGCATCACGCCGGCCGCCTTTACTTCATAGAACTGCACCTGATACCCATTCACGGCTGGTTCGACCTGGGAGTCAAGGTCATTTTTAAAAAGAAAATAGTCTGGCTCCGTCAGGACGCGAACCCACGACCTTCCGACCCGCAGGCGGGCCTCAACCGCCAACGCCACGGCGTCTCCCGAACAAAGTATGGGGATAACACTAAATTTAACAATTACAAGACATTCAGCATCGTTTGCTTCTTTCATTTTCAAGTATTAAAAAAAAAAAGACCTAACAGCAGTACATATTTGATGCTGAGTGCATTAGCTTGTACCTTAACCGTACACTCAATGTTTACAATAATGTCCATACATTAGCCACAAGCCATCAATGCTTCTTTGATTGTCGCGGCAAACGGCAACTTCCCAGCTATGCAATAGACACGACGCAGTGGGATTTCTGCGACGGCATTACTGGCCGGCATACAGAATTAATGATGTCAGCGCCGACGCTATTTTGTGTGCAGCTTTTGGCTACTTCTGCTAGACTCCTCTGAGGCAAAGGGGTTAACTGAGCCGGCGGGTCAGCGGCAGGGGGCGTGAGAAGACCAAGACACACAAAAAACTCCCCCACTGGGTATTGTCACACAGGGGTAACACACATATCAAAGCTGGAGAGAAAGATAGGTCTTCCCTATCCTTGCAGGGTAAATCGCCGTGATGTAGCAGCTTGACGCCTGCCTGCTGATCGGAAGATCGTGGGTTCGGGCCTTGACTGCGCCAGATGTTGACCCAGTCTTTAAAAATGGGTACCAGGTACAGTCCTAAACACTAAAAGCCACCGGTGCTGACCACATCACCCAACAGCTGCCGATTGGTCCATAGAATATAGGTCAAGCTCTATAACCCACTACGCCCGAAGATGTGGAAAGGGTCCTTTGCTTTTTTCTTTAGATGACAATCCGGCAAGTAGACAGGCTCACACCCCAACGCAGTAGTGGAAGAAAGGACTGCGTATTGTATTGCCACAGAAGCAAGTTAACAGCTCATCGTCATGTACCATACGGTTAAGCTCAAGCCATCTATAATTAAGTGTAAACAAATAAGAGAACCACACATATATCTCTCCATGAGACCAGATACGACTATAAATACGAGTGAGATGAGAAGAAAACAAGAAGAGATAGGGTCATTACCAAAGAACTAAGAACAACGGTTGGCACCGTACCGGCATGTGATTTCACAGAACATCAACTGATGGGACAAGTTTATAACATCACATCCTTACGTGTTTTTGGACAGCAAAGGTGCACCAGGGTGGTGGCAGTCTCCCTGCTTTGCCCCCCCCCTCCTCCCCCACCCCCATCTGGTTGCTAAAAGAAGTCCCTGAGACTTCAAGAATCCTATTGTAGGTAACAGACTAACTGGGCATCGTTTAACCTCTAAAAAACATTATATTTAGGGCTCCTCTAAATGTTACATCTGCCTGGTGTAACCTGCAGTACTGTCTGGGTAAGGGTGCAACAGTAGGAAGCAGCAGACACGGGTTACCTAACTATAACCTCTAGGGAGTATGAACAAGACATCTGAGATTTACCTTTTTGTTTAACCGTCATCCGGGATAGGACTTTTAATGACGACGACGAGGTCAAATATTCGGGTAGAGATGAAGATGGTGATTCAGACGATGAAGAGAAAAAACGAACTGGTACAGAAAAGCCAGATCGTTCAATTTTTACTTTCTTGATGCACAACTCTTCTTTTTCGCGTTCACAGGCTGTAAACTCCAGCGGAATTTTCAGGTTGTTCCTCCACTTCTTGACTTTAGTCTTGTTCAATAACTTGAGTTTTGCGTGCACATCCGTTTTACAGATCTGGCTTATTTGTATACAAATATTTTGGTTTCTTATCTATCAAACAGATGCATCCCGACTTTGAAGGGAACGCTCCTAATTAGCCGACGTTCACGACATGCTTGTTGGGGAGAAGGCAGTAGGTATATTTTTATTGCCACCCCCCCCCCCCCCCCCCAATAAGGCCCCGGAACCCACAAGAGGAGGTCAGTGGTAACTGAAGCTTTGAATTCTTCTTTGTCCTTTCAGCAGAACCTTGATGAACAGTGATCAGGTGTTATTGACAGGGACACAACTAATGCCATACTTACCGCCTCTAGCCAAACGTTGGTGGTAAGAACTTGGTTCTTCTCATCCTGTGGGAAAAATAAATATATTAGCGATCGACTGCCCCCCCCCCCCACCTTTGACTTATACCTAAAGGTTCGTCGTCACAACGACCAGGCGGTCCATCCAGTAAAAACAAATTTCAGCTACGCCGTTCAATATTTTCTTAGATGGTTGTCGACACCAAAACGACCAGGAGGTCAATCCAGCAGAAACAAATCTCAGATACCCTATTCAATATTCTAAAATGGTTGTCGACACCACTCGAAAAGGAGGTCAAACCAACATAAACAAATCTCAGATACCCCATTCATATTTAGTTGTAATTGAAGTATTCTACGACTTAGGTTAGTTGTATCTTTTACAGGACTTTGCAGAACCAACCCCAACAGCATCTGGCTGTCGTGTGGTTTTTCTGCTCAAATTTACATCCAATAGTTTATTCTACGACTACACTAAGTAAAAACCTATTCAAAATTGGTAAAGGCAGAATACAAATCATACTGGATTTCGAATTACATAGTTTCAAAACTGAGAAAGATTTGTCTCAATGAGTTGCTTAAAAGATTTTCATAGTCAATAAAGCAATAAAGAGTTCTGTTTTGTTCAGTCATTCCCTCTGCAAGAAACCGATTGTTCCTTTTCGCAGAACGCAAGCTGATTGTCTTTAGCACGGAATCGACTTTACTGTATGTACCTTCTTGGGTATTTGCTGCAGTCAGTTTGGGACATGTGCTATTCGACTTAATCATACTCTTTGTCAAATGATGATGATGATGATAATGATGATGTTCGTGATGATGATGATGATAATCTGGGAATTAAAGAAAGAATATTTTTTTTTAAAAACGCAGTTGACAAATTTCCACGTTTAAAAGATATAACATGCTTTAAAACCCATTAAAAAAATGTTAGTTGCGTATGCTTTATAGGACGTTGCAGAAACAACACCAGCATTTGTTAGCTGTTGTGGTTTTTTTTAGGCACATTTTAAATTCAATAGTTTGCCATTGCTCCTGCACTGTCAGCTCTCGGTACTACTGTGGAAACCAACGCAAGACCAACCTTCCGCAGCTGGGATCCCACCCGGCACCCTGGCATTACAAAGCGCGTTCGCAACACCTAGGCTACAGACGTCGACTTAAAACACATAACTGGAGTTGGAGGTAAACATCGATGGCAAGCCAGGACAAGCTGGACAACAACACAAGTTGGAAAACAACATCAAGAAATGAATGAACAACAGTCTGACAGAGTGAATAATCAAGACAAGAGACAAAAATTGTACAATCAATAATAATTAAAAAAAAAGTCCGGTTGCAATGGTAATGCACTGCAGCTAACCTTCGTTGTACAGATTTCACCTGAGTGATTGATCGATGAGGATGGCAACGTTGACGATGATGCTGCTGATGATGAGAAACAGCAGAAACATATAATACAAAATTACAAATGAGAAGATATAAAATATATGAGAGTCTTAAACACAAGTCCCATTTAGAGGCGGACATAGAACAGCCAATGGTTATCGACTTATCTTGATTATACAGAAAAAGCAATGGGCAGCAGGATCAATATCAAGTCTCATGGAGACGATTTAAATAAAACATCCCTCAGCGATACAGTCAACGGAATATTCAAACATCGCAGTCTGTTAGTTACGTATCCTGTTGAAGGACGTTGCAAATCAACCGCAACATTTTTTGTCTGTGCGTAGTTTTTACTAAACAATAAATAGTACAGTTAGCAAAAAACCTCAAACGTTCAGTAGTCATCAAGATAGATACATAATCAATGTGTTGCTGGCATCACCGGAACAAACATTCTTCGCTGGCTGCTGAAGACGGAAAACATTGAATTAGGAATTGACATCACAGCACTCGGGACACTCCCATAAGTGCTCAGTACTCATCTTCAGCAGCAAGCGAAGAGATCCAATTCCGATAGTACCAGTAACCGTCTGATTGTAAATCCGTCTCTTTCTTCCACTGAGTGTTGAGCGTCAGCTAGATTCTCTGGTAACTCCTCGCAGCGCCATTCTCCTTAGACGGTAATGACCTATCTGCGCCTCAGCACTGTTCACTCGATCCCAAAGGGCCCTCACAATATCTATCTTGTCACACATCAATTCATCAACAAGTGGTGCAGAGCCAGCCAGTCTATCTGACTGCTCATTTCCCAACATACCGGAAGGACCCGAAGATAATATCCAAAGGATGCTAACTACTCGGGACCTCTGAAGTGATTCTTGCTACTGCATGAAGCATGCCTGTTTTCACCTTTCTCAGCCTGCTAGCAGAAGGCAGCAGTGAGTGCCTCCACCTCCATTCTCAAACTAAACGTTGTGATATCATATGCCAGGCGTTGTTGCACCAAGCGACGTCCATTCACCTTTGCTATGTAACCCCTTGCACTTCGTCTGCCCCTCAACACAGAGCCATCTGTATAGATAATTACATCACTTGGGCGGGAATTGTCATAAATCATTTGTTGAACTGATTCTGCAGCACCAGACCAGCTGGCCAGTCTCTGCACTCACGACTTAACGTGATGCTGAAGATGGAGCGCTGATCGGAATGTCTGGAAACTTTTAGCATCTTTTCTGATTTTAACACTTGCTGAACAGATACTAGATAGTTTGCTCCTGATAACTGGCGATATTCGCCAAACCAAGCTTCTAAGTTGTCAGTCTGCAGCTTTCCAAAAAGTATAAAACTGGCTTCTGTGGTTGCAAACAAATATTTGATTAAAGAAAGCATTGCGGACACTGTATTTAGCTAGGCACTGTGTGTTTCCTTGGTCAGTTTTCCTTTACATCCAGTCAACATGTCTCACTTTCTTAGCTATTCAGCAAACTGTTCAAGATAATGTACTTGTTTATCCTTTTTTTACAATATAGAATTTCATATTAACAATATACCACCATCTAAGGATGGCTTCAATAAAATCTGTTGTTTGTTACCCTCCACTAGACGCAGAGCAGCAACACTGTATTCATGAAAAATTGCCAGAGCAAGAGAAACGTTCTGTCTGTCCATGCTGGAGGGATAGATGGCTTTGTGGGAAAGTTTAGATGCCAGTTTTGCAATATTCTTTTGCTATTTACAATAAAGTTTCTTTAAATGAAAAAAATGTAAATTCTGCAGCTCTATCAGTATCACAGACGTTTAGCAGTTGTCCAGTTATTAAAGGATAAGTAAATGTCTCGACTGTATCCTTCTGGTTGATCCAGTTCCTACAAAGGCATTTTAGCAAGTGCACAGAATCATACAGTAGAAATATTTTTTAATCAGCAAAATCTGGGTTCTCAATAAATGTTTGGCTTGGTTTCAGCAGATCATTGTAAACTCTATGATTTACGGCACTACTATAAGCAATTACAGCAACTTCTGGGAAGCCGCGCTCCTGTACAAAACTGATACAATGGAGTAGTTTTAAACGCAGATCCTAAAATGTTAACATCTGATATAAGGTATACTATACTAGCAAACGAAGAAATCATAGGACATACAGTGTAGAAATTCTTTCCTTTGAGATGCTGCTCCCCGAAAAACACAACATATTGAACAAAAATCCAAAGAGAATCCATATGAGGAACTTTTTAAATCTATTCTAAGAAAATATCACTTATCAGTAAATCAAAAGTGAAGGTAAAAATCACTTATTATTGTTTTTAAATAACAAAAATTAAATCGAACACGTATGAAACACACGTGACAGCCATTTTGCGTCTGCATAAGGTCGACTTTGTTAGCTTACAGCTTAGCCTACGGCGCACAGCTGAGCGGGAGTGCCCCATTGCCCAGTAGCTGAAGAATGCCTTAGTTTAACCGTCGGGGCCCTGTCATGACCTAGGGGACAACCGGTAAAACACGGACAAAATGGGACATTCAGAGTGAAAACGGAAAGTATCGTTAGCCCGGGGTGGTTATGTCACATCAAGCTGTCGTCATCAGCCCCTTGACCTGTCTAAAGTAGGTCATGGCTAAATAGAACCTTACGGTTAAACAGGGTTCCAGAAATTTGTACCTAAGAAATTATAATCAGAATAGTGACACTTTTCACTTGCGTCAGCGTGTGTTGGTCACTCATTGTGAAGCCCTAGTAAGATTGAAAATGATTCAAAAATATAATGAATAATTCTCAAAAAATGGAAGCAGATCAGTGCATTATTACGATTTCATTGTGCTTTTGTTATTTTGTGCGTATGAATATGTGTGTAGTTGTGTGTGTGTGTGTGTCCACACACATATACATGTATATGCACTCACACGCATAAACACACACAGCCACGCGCGCGCGCACACACACACACGTATATAGTAGCATAGATCTGTAAAACGCGTGTCAACCTACCAGGTCCAGGATTTGAGTCAAGGTCAGCCCTAGACTGACGTCCACCGGTGACAAGGAGTCAAAGACCGGCCTGACGCTGCTGTCATAGTTACCAACCAAATACTCCATCAGCTTCTGCTCGTGGGACTGGAACTGGGGATCTCCAACTGGCTGGACTTGGTCGTCTTCCGTCTCGTTGACGACCAGGGCATGGCCTGGAAGGAGCGCTGAAATGCCACAGAGATAGAATATAGTGAGTATTTATTTATCTTCTTGATGTTTACCGACTGTCAACTCCCGCGGAAAGTTTTGGTTATTTATCCACTTCAGGACTTTAGTCTTGTTTCAGAACTTGAGTTTTGCGTAAACGTCCAATGTACATATCTGACTTTTTTTTTATGTCAGGACGCTTGGTTGCTCGCCTCAAAGTCAGACGCACTCTTTCCAAGAGAAATTCCAGCTAGCCGACTATAACGGCGTACTGTTTAGAGGGCAGTAAGTCTACTCTCCCCTTGTTCTGTTAGTTAGTTAGTTAGTTAGTTAGTTAGTTAGTTAGTTAGTTAGTTAGTTAGTTAGTTAGTTAGTTAGTTAGTTAGTTAGTTAGTTAGTAAATTGACAGAATATCTTTCCTGCTCACCAGACAATTCCTTAAGCGCTTGGATCCCATCTTCTGTATATCCCCCAGCGTGTAGCGACTGACAACATTAGTTATGTGTTGAATTACAATTTATCTTTGCCTACCTGTATAGTGTTCATGTTTGGCGACACTTGTTTCGACCTGAAGTTTTTGTAGTATTTTGAGTTTTGTCGGTTCAACGTAGTCTTCTGAATCATCTCCTCGTCCTGCCTAATTGAGAGCATTGAGTAAGTCGGCTCGGTCCGTTGCTTTTTTCTGTACCTACCGTGGCCCTGCCAGCAAGCTAATCTGCTCGTTCATTCCTTCTTACCACAGAATGCCCTGGCACAAAGATTAAACTGATTTCTATCAGTGTCTCACAGCTGTTTCTACCAGTGATTGTCATAACATTTCTTCTATTTTTATGTATAGCTACTTTTTTGTTTAAATTTTATATTTAAAAAAAACAACCAAGATATACAGTTCTACTCATTCGATACCAACCAACGCACCATGCATGTATTAACTACTCTATCTCTTTGCTACTTTTCAGAATTTGTTATATGTTTCACACCGTTATTTAATAAACCCACTTGAAATCCCTTGGAATAATATTTATTACTGTGGGAAGTAATACTGTACTGGTATTCTGTTCCATTCACTGTTCAAAATCGTTTTGTCAAGACGGTTGTAATATTTAAGTTACGAGTGGCTGGGCAGCAAGTGTTAAAGAACTGCTTTATTCTGTTCAAACAGAAAGCACACAAAGCTAAAGCTGTGATTTCCGAGAACAGCCAGTAGTATACTATCAGTTACATGGAAGTGAAAGAGTTGTAGAAATGCGATTTAAAACGGGCGATGGATCAGCTGTACAGGATACAAGCATTACAAAAAATGGACATCTTGCAAAGAATACATCACAAACTCACGGTGCGTTGCTCGGTATCGATTGAATTAATAACTGTGTTCTCAACGTACAGAGTAATGACACCGCTATTCTAAATTTTGATTTGCAAACTTGAGGTTTTCTTCTTGAAGCCCCCTAGTAAAATCGATCAACTGAGAATGGAAGAGTCGAAGACCTGGCATCAACTCTTGAGCATACCCATGTCTGCTGTATGATTTTTTGATGATTCCAATCCATTTGAGTCATTTTACAAAATATAGCATAAATTTTCTTGGCCACTTTCTCCTCCTCGTTCTTCTGTCTTCTGCTTCTTTTCCTTGTCTTTTTCTTTTTCTTCTTTTTCTTTTTCTTCTTTTTCTTTTTCTTCTTTTTCTTCTTCTTCTCCTTCTTCTTCTTCTTCTTCTTCTTCTTCTTCTTCTTCTTCTTCTTCTTCTTCTTCTTCTTCTTCTTCTTCTTCTTCTTCTTCTTCTTCTTCTTCTTCTTCTTCTTCTTCTTCTTCCTCTTCATCTTCTTCTTCCCCTACTACTACTCTCTTCCTTCTCTGATCAACTCTTCTCTCTCCATCACTTTCACTTCTTTTCGGCCTTAACCGCCGCCTCCTCCGCCCGTAGCCATTTTTGTTATCGTTTCAAATCCTCTAGCAATAACGTTCTGTATCGACAGTTGCTGCATTCTTTGATGCCGAAACCATCCGTTATTCTGATTATATTTGGTACATGGGTTTTCCTACAATTGGTCAAATATGGTATTTTCACTGCGTTCTCCAGAAAAGCCTTTCATATGTTCCACGACGTCATAGGCCGGAGTTCATCTTTTCTGACCGGTGTGTTGAGTTGTGTGGCATTTTAAAGTGCCTACAAAGTGCTGTGTTCTAAAAGTAATGGAACAACAAATCCACAGGTGGATATTGTGAAGTGGATATCAAGGTTTTCAGACTTTGCTGATTTTCCAACAATGAAACCCCGGTATCCACATAGGGAATTTGTGTGTATGATGTGTGTATGTTGCACAGCATATGCAGTTGTATGGTCTGTTATAATGTGCTTCACTTACCTTTAAAATAATATATCATTCATGATAATGTGTTGTAAAGAGCTATTTTAACATCTCACATGCTAACTTCTGTTCTTGTGATGTCCTGTTTAATCCTTCCCTGTAGCTCTCTAGAGCTGTCTACTGCCATCATGTTTTCAATTGTCATAGGCTTATTGCCTTCTTGTATCTTATATTCACTGGGTGGGGCGGGGTGTGTCTTTTGGAGTGTTCTTGTTGTATAGTAAATAATGTTCGATATCATGTATCTGACACACAAAGCTTGTTTCTTCTTTGCTACAAATGGACAAAACATTGATAGCTAATATGATCCGGAAAAAGCTACGTATATGTAGGAATTATGTGTGACGTATTTTAAACAGTTACCAAAAAATTCACAATGATAATGAACTGATTTAATCCAACAATATAAAATTGGACAAAATTAGCTTTTACTGTTTGGTACATAAATATTTTGATAAATATTTAGCAGTGCTATATTATTGTTAAGTATTAAAATTATTGCACAAATCACTTTCATACTGGCTTTGCATTAAATATAAACATGGTCACAATTGACTAATCTTTTAAAGGAAGTCACTTGCTTGTTTACCACTTATTAGCTACCTATTAGCTGTCCATGAAGCAATGGATCTCAAACTGTTCCTCCCCACAACGCTTAACGACAGAAGTGAAAACTGATGATGATGATGATCATCATCATCATCAATCGACAGGCCCTTTCTAAAACGTCGCTCTCTGAAATTCTCTCTTTCTCTAGCCAGTTCTCCAGCCCTGTGTGTTTTCATTATACCGGGGTGAGAGGAATGGGGGTGGGGGGGGGGGGGAGACCCCCGCACCTTCCTCTTGCAGTTAAGAACAAATGCGAAGTAGACGAAATCGTTACACAGAGACAGATAAGAGAATAGATAGAATACCGTGAACGTCTTCAATTGCCTGCAACTGAAAATAATACATTGCACCCAACAGATAATAAATCACAGCGACTTGTTATACATTTCTGGTTTTTGCCTTGAGAGACTCCAGGCCAATATTGAAATCGGACAGTTGAAGAAACAGCTTTATTTCAAGTGATTTGCAAGTCTGCGTTTGGCAAGGAGATAACTGGGTGGAATAAAACAGCTGTTTATCTGCTGCTGGAAAGCTGTGATTCTACTGTCACAAAGGCAGCGGCTTGCCCGTCCAGTGGTCAAAAATGTGAATCCTCGTACTCTGAAAATAAATTTCGGTTTCCAAGTTCATTCAGCTTAAGAATAGGTATTATGAAATGGCCCAGGAAGTAAAGACGACCAGTGTAAAATTGAATTCATCGCTCAAATGGTCGACATAAGTAATGGGCTACCACCACAATAATACAATAATGCAAAATACCAGCCAAAGCAAAAGACAAGGTACCAGGAAGGAGGGGCAGGGGCCGACCAACACGAAGATGGGCAAAAGATATAAGTGACTTCTTGAATATGGATGTACACGAGATGGGAGAGCTGGCTAGAGACCGAGTTTTCTTTCAGGCAGACCGTGATGAGAGAGACGTTCTGCCATATGATGAGTTTTTAAAAATTATAGGAAAGAGAAAAAGGGGGTGAGAAAAAACAAATAGTTTATGTCAGCATTACAAAATCGATCACAATGAACAAACAAAGCCCGTTGCAGCAATTAGATTTCATCAGCACATACAGAACGACACAGCACACACACACAAACATGCGCTAACTATGAAGTGACTACATAGGACTCTAACGTACTAAATAAATTATACTCATCTGTGTACCTGGCGAAAAACTTCGTTCAAGAGGATGAACAGGACGGGCAATAGCCTATATATCGCCCCCGCGCGGACGGAAAGCGAAAACTCGGTCGGTATACCTGGCTAATAGGCGGGGTAGACGCCAACAAACACAACAGCGTACACTGTGTGTCTAAAGGGGGAGGGAGGGGTTGACCAATAAGACGTAACCAGGGTTGGGTCGTGGGGATGACACTAGTACATCCGCATGGAATAAAAGTGGTGCCTGTGCTAGCATACAAATACCAATAGACAGGCAGGCAGGCAGGCAGACAGACAGACAACCAGTCTGCCAGCTAGCCAGACAGACAGCCAGCAGACAGACAGACAGACAGCCAGCAGACAGACAGACAGACAGACAGACAGACAGACAGACAGACAGACAGACAGACAGACAGACAGACAGACAGACAGACAGACAGACAGACAGACAGACAGACAGACAGACAGACAGACAGACAGACAGACAGACAGACAGACAGACAGACAGACAGACAGACAGACAGACAGACAGACAGACAGACAGACAGACAGACAGACAGACAGACAGACAGACAGACAGACAGACAGACAGACAGACAGACAGACAGACAGACAGACAGACAGACAGACAGACAGACAGACAGACAGACAGACAGACAGACAGACAGACAGACAGACAGACAGACAGACAGACAGACAGACAGACAGACAGACAGATAGACAGATAGATAGATAGATAGATAGATAGATAGATAGATAGATAGATAGATAGATAGATAGATAGATAGATAGATAGATAGATAGATAGATAGATAGATAGATAGATAGATAGATAGATAGATAGATAG